GTTTCTAGCATGTTTTGTACCTTGCTTGGTGTGAGTTTAGCCGAGGGCGTCTTTAGTCTAGAACTCCCTTGGAACCACTTTGTTTGACCTCCACCTTCGCCCTGACATATTGGCCGAGATGTCATTATCTAGGCCGAGGTGTTCATCACCAAGGCCGAGGTGTGAATCATCTAGGCCGAGATGTTACCTTTGCACCTAAGTGATCTTGTCCCGGAGAGGTATGACCTAGACCGAGGTGTGGCACATCTAGGCTAAGGTGTGGCACAGCTTAGTCAAGTGTTGTCCTTCCTAGCCGAGGTCATTATTCCCTACTTGCCGATGTCTTGTTCTTAGCCGAGATCCTTACTTGCCAGAGTGCCCATGCCGTCTTGCTTGTTGAACACACTTTGTCATAGTTTTGTCTTATCACTCAGTCACCTTTCTGTGTAGCACCAACCAGCCGCTGCCACGTGCCCCTGTAGAGGGTTAAGTCAGCCAGCAGACTTAGAAATGTATCATTTTTCTATATGTCTTTGTTTGTGAGGAGAGAGAAGCTCTAGAAGAGGAAGAAGAAGTTTAGAGTGAGAGAGTGGGTTTTCGAGCTTGATTCCTAGAGATCAAACCATTAGATTCACATATTGAGGTTAGATTCTTGATTTACTCTTGTCATTCTTATTGATCATCTAGCTGCATTGCACGATCGAACCCGTTTTGCATGTCATGCATCAATTTAAAGTTGGTTTTAGAAAGAGAAAATGGTGTTCATGTGTTCTTGAAAGAAAGGTCTTGTTTGATCTGAAAGTTTGCATTAAGTTTCATGTTTTGGTGCTTGTTCTCGTTAGATCCTTGAATATGGGTACCCAGGCCCATATTTTTAAACTCATAGCATGAAATCTCAGATTTTGTAATAGCAAATCACGATCTTTGCATTCATCTCCCTCATGTTCATGTTCTTCATGTTCATCATGTTCTTCAAAAAAGGGGAACCCAGATTTTTCCCGACTTCATTCCGTTGAATGTGGCTATCGAGGCAACACCTCGGCAAGGAGGTGTGGGACCTCAGCCAAGACCTGGTCGGTACCCAACATGATTTCCCGAGAACATAAATAGTGTTTTGCTTTGGTTTGTCTTGGCTCCTAAGTCAGCACACTTTTTTCCCGTCAAGACTACGTTCAATGCCGACCGGCTTGCTGAATTGTATATGAGTGAGATCATTAGACTTCATGGTGTGTCGATGTCCATCGTGTCAGACCGAGATCCGAAGTTCGTTTCTAGATTTTGGCAGAGTCTGCAAAGAGCCTTGGGGACCGAATTGAGGTTTAGCACAGCTTTTCACCCCTAGACCGACGGGCAAACGCTTTGATAAAAGTCTTGTTTTGCTTCGTTTTGGAAAGTATTTGTAAGCATGAATGGTTATTCCTAATTGGAAAATATATATATATATATTCTTGTTTTGACGACATTCTTGGAAGTCCGTACGTGCTAAGGGACTATAAGCATTTGTAGCACAAAGTTTGGAAGTCCGTACGTGCTAAGGGACTATAAGCATTTGTAGCACAAAGTTTGGAAGTTCGTACGTGCTAGGGGACTCTAAGCATTAGTAGCACAAGTCCTTAGTGTCCGGAGACTATAATGCAACAACACAATCGAATTGAGATATCTCCCTTGTCTTGCCTTGTCTTGTCTTGTTTGCCACTGATGGGTTACCGCGTGGGTTTTGTTTGCCGAGATGTCATCATTTGGATTATAATGATGTTAGTAAGCATCCTTTGAAACTTGTCAGATTTGGAAGATGGACCTGATTCATCCCTTGACTTGCACTAATTATGTTATGTATTGTTTGATAAAGATCTTGAATACCAGTCATGCAAATCCCTTTATTTCTTATACCATTCACTGAGTATGCAAGCTCACCCTCTCTATATTAATATGTAGGTGATGAGCAGGAAGGCGGTGACGCCTAGGTGTGACTCGCGAGCTTGTTTTGGATTTTTGTTATGTCGGCCTAACTTGTATTCATGTCGGCAGTCTTGAAAACTATGCTTCTCGGCTTATAATGTTTGTAATTTACACATGTCGGCTGGAGAAGCCTTTTGATCAAGATGTAAAATGTATTTTGTACTTTATTGTATTTGTATCCTATTTGTAATATTATGTAAAGTTGTATGCCATTCCATGTAACTTACGCACTGCTCTTATGGACCACTTGTATTTTAAGATTATTGCTTCCGCACTTGTGAGCCCCATATATAATTATACTCTGTTTGTGTGTGAATTTTGAAAGTTTGGCCTTCGGTAATCTTGGATTACTGGCCATCACGGCACTAAACTACTAGGGGCGGTTGGGGGTCGTGACAAGCTCGGCCCAACTTCGATTGGGATATCTTAGTGCGGCGCGATGGGCGTCAAGGTTTGGGTAACTGTACTGTGACTTTAGAAAGTTTAAATCTGCATGAAGGAAAATTACAACGGTTAGTGCGGTTCAAACCATACAAATAAGCAACGAAGTAACGAAAAACATGAAAGTAAGTCGAGGTAATTATACCGGCGATTCCTTTGTTCTAGTTAATTCGGTCGCCCGGGATCTGGGCCTCCTGGTCTTCGAAGTTGCCCGAGACCCAGAAGAAATCATCATCATTTACGTCTTTATTCGGGGTGTTCTTTATTATCTTTTCACGACAGCGTCTTATTCTTAAATAATAAACCCAGCTGTCTTCATTTTGGCCTAGGAAGTATTGGTGAAATATCACGGCCAAACCGAGGTTGAGGCCAAGCCGGCGGTTTAGCTCGGCAATGCCATTTATTATTCGGTATGAGTTTGTTGAAAGCTGTGTAGGGCCGAGGTTTGTTTGTCTAAGGAACTCACAAAGAAGAGGTTGCACAGGGAATCGGAGTCCGGTTTCTACAATAGAAAGAAGGGTGAAGGGAACGAAGCCCGGGTTTCCCCAGGGTGTGATGTCTAGTTCGACTAAAGAAAGATGGACATCATCAGGGATATAGTAGTCCCTTCGGAACTCGGCCATAGTCCCTGGTGAGTTTACCAAAAACCTATATTTATCCATGAGGTCTTAAATTATGTATAAATTAGCTGGAGTGCTAGCTCAGTGCTGAGATGACGGTGGTTATCTCGGTTGGGCGTTCAAAAGAGTGCTTGGGCAACCTAGTCAGAGTCTGCAAAGTGCAAAGGAAAAAGTGTTAAGCACAGATCGATGGACCGTGCTAAAAACAAAAAAAAGGGAAAAAAATAAGTGTTATCTTAGCTCAGCTACGTGGGATATTATGCATTCTTAGCTCGGTTTGAGCAAGGGACTTTAGCCCGGTTAAGTTAATGAGAAGTTCGTAGCCCGGTTGTAGCTTACAGTGCAACATTCTTAGTTCGGTTTTAACTAAGTCAGGGGGCTGGTTTAGCCCCAAGTTTTAGCTCGGTCGGTGGTTAAGGTTTCCTAGCATGATATGGCGCAAACCGAAATACGGCTCGCTAGCTCGGCTAAATGAAACAGAAGGTACTTGGACCTATTGAAACTACAAGTATATCGTGAAGTCTTGGTTCGGTTGTTTGGTTTGGCTAGGTTCGTACCTAATACAAACAACTTCCTAGTTCGGTTGGAGTGAGATTTTGGATCTAAGACGTCCCATTTCAGTTTGTTCGCAAATCTAGTAGATGTGAGTACTATTCAAGAAGTTCTTACTCATTACAGAGAAAACTATTTGAAAAGTATTATGAAAAAACACGTATATACAAATGGTACATGTTGCTAGTCAAATGGAAAGTAGAAAAGGATTGAGTTACTTACAGATTGGAGAAGGAAGGATGCAGATCTGAAACCACGAAGATGGTGTTGGGAATGCAAGCTTCGCAGGTACTAAGGTTGCAAAAATAGAGGCTCAAGCAAGAGAGAGAGAGAAAATGAATAGTGCAAATGAATGGTTCAAAGCATAAGGTTTGGTTTTGTGAAAATGGAAGGAAAAAGGCGGGACTATTCAAATGTTGCGAGGTACGAGGGCGGCTGTGATAGCTACGCTGGGCCAATGAGAGTCTGCCACGTGTCTATGGAATGGGAAGCGATTTAGTTACAGCGACAGAAGAGACGTTTTGACTGGACAGATTTGTAGCCCGGTGTGAATTTAGCTCGATTGAAAGGCTAAAGTTATTAGCTTGGCTGGTGATGAGTAATCCTGATCATGCTATGCAGATGGAATTAAGGGGCAATTGAGAGGGTAATTTATAAGTAAATTAGGCCGAGCTGTGTAATGGGCCGTTCTGTGGACCAAGGTAAGAAAGAGCTGAGTAAAAGGACCTTGTAGTTAGCTCGGTCCTAAAAGAGCCTTGAAGTTAGCTCGGTCACCACTTGGTGTTGACATATAAGGATGATTTTTTTTTATATTATATTATATTTTTTTTGATAAATGCATGTAAAGATGTTGTTTAATTTGCATTTGCATTTGCTTTTGCTTTTAGTTTTGGATATTTTATGAATGTTTGAAGACTCTTAACTTAATAGGAATCCCTCTCTTTATTTATTAATTTGCTTTAGATTTTATTTTCATGCATATTACATTATTAAAATTATAAAACAATAATTTTTTTACGAACGTAACCCCGCCGTTCCCATATCATATTTTTTCAGATTTTGGTGTATTGCCATATCCGTATTCCCCTATCGCTATATCCCATACCCATGCTTCCTAGATCATAAATATGTGGGGAAACTAAAACCTATACATACTGGTTGAGGAATTGACCTGACATACAATTTATTTTCGTATAGTTGCTTTCAAAAGCAATAATGTGCATGAAGTTAGAAGGACAAATTACAAATCCAGCCAAGTCATCTGTGACAAGGTCTGAACAGGCAGCATGGAACGAAGTTTATAATTAAAGAATTGAGAAATTGAAAGTGTTGGACAAACAGAATAGAACCCAATATCAGCAACAACCTAGGATAAAATGAAACAAACCTGAAGCAGTAGATGAGGGTGGTGACAAAAATGGAGGTGGTGGAGAAATTGTAAAACTATTATTTCGGAAACTTAAAAATGAAAGAATAGTGGTTAGCATATGTCTAGATGAGTCACTCGACTCCACTAGTATGGAAAATGATGTTACCAGCAACAAACCTGAAAGAAGTAAAAGGTTTAAAGGAGCCATTAACTGGGACAACTCCTGCTAAGTTATTGTTTGAAAGATCACTGTATACCAAATGGCAAGAAGCCATATCATCTTCTTGTAGTTAGTTTATGCCAATTGAAGCTAATCAAAAAAAGAAAAGCCTTTATTATTCACCAAAAAGGAAAAATAAAGAACACGTCAACTTGGTACTCACAGGACTTGAAGTGAGTTGATAGTAGTCAATGACATAGGAATAGTTCCAGACAAAGTGTTGTTGTTAAGCCGTCTATCCATGCAAATAAATACGAGGACCAGGCATAAGTACATTCCAAACAATCAAAATGGTATATCAATAAAATTCCTAGGGAGGCTGATCAACGCTAGTGGATGCACATAATACATGCAATATGTGATCAATCAGAGCCCTCTCTGCAATATAATCCAATTTCGGATGAAAGTTGATTTGTAATGTACAGACAACTAGTATATGCACATAATAAAGTAACATATGATTAAAACAAATAGCCTTTCAGCATTGTTTTCCATTATCAAGAGGATGCTATTTCTTAATCATGGATCAGTATGCATTTTAATAATTTTACTAAGAAAAAAAGTAAAAATCAATGCATTTATCACCAAAATACCTAGTCTTTATAGGCCCTACTGTATATTAATCTAGACATCTTGACAACAATGGGATTTCCATCTTTGGGGTTGATTTCAATCAAACATGCAATATCTTGGACTGAATAACTTGAATAATTTGTTTTCATGCATTTTTCTAAATATACATAAAAAAAATTAAAAAAAAAAAGACAGAGAAATCATAAGAGTATATTCTTTAAGAAATCAGTAAAAAACTAAAACAATGCCACTGTATCCATATTCCCATATATCAACGCATAAGCACCCCACTTTTGAAAAAACCTTGTAATAAGAAAACTGAAATATAATAAAAGTAAACTCAAATAGATGCACAATAAATTTAATAACAAAAGTAAAAAAGATGAAGGACATGTAATTCATACAAGAAACGTAATTTCTGAAGCTTGCCCAGCGTGTCCGGGATGATACTACTCAAATTGTTCAAGTAAAGATCCAAGCTCACCAAACTTGTCAAATTGCCAAGCTCAATAGGAATTCTTCCACTTATGTTGTTGCTATAAAGCTCCCTGTCAAGAAACATGTTAATAATATGCAAACCAAAGGGACAAACAAAAGATGATCATGTTATTAATGGGAGAAAAATTGTGCAGCAATATCAAGATAATGAATACAAGGGGAACAAAAAAGGGCTCAAGCAACCAACTATGAACCACCCATTTTTAAAAGATTACCTAACACAATAGGCTGCTAGGAAACTGGAATTTCTTTCTAGAGGTTAGTTGTTTCATCAAAGTAAAAGACGCACATGATCACAATCAGTACAAAATATTAACCAACAAGTCAAGACAAATGCTTTAAAGGGAAGTCAAAACATATTGAGCTCTTTTACAGATGAAGTTGTACATGACTCCAAAAGCTAGCATTGCAATAGACTAATTTATTTATTTATTTATTTATTTTTGCAGGGGGTTACAACGGCAGCCAATAAAACAAAACACTAAACATGAACTCATCTGGGAATGCCCGATCAGAGGTATCTCAAATCATTCAAAGCACAAGACTATGCCCCTTTAGTCATTTGTTCCTTTTTAACCAGAAAAGCTGTACAATATCATGTATTCTCCAGGAAGAGCATGTTTTCAAGGTTGTCTTTGTTAGGTTTTTATTCTTAGCAACCCCATTTGACAAAACTCCTTTAAGTTGTATTTGTTTTCGCACTTTTTATTTCAGTGAGGCTATGAGTTTTTAGATGCAAATCCAACCCGTTGCATTTTTTAAGTTTTTGGAAAAAAAAAAATGGTAGAAGTAAAGTTAGAAAACATCTATCATTTCATATTGTTTTTAGTTTGACACAATTTTGAAAAATTTACAAAACGAGAAATTTTTTTGAAATTTTTTTAGGTCTTTATTAATTTCCAACATTTTGTACACTTTTTTGAAATTTTTTTAGGTCTTTATTAATTTCCAACATTTTGTACACTTTTTTGAAATTTTTTTAGGTCTTTATTAATTTCCAACATTTTGTACACTTTTTTGAAATTTTTTTAGGTCTTTATTAATTTCCAACATTTTGTACACTTTTTTGAAATTTTTTTAGGTCTTTATTAATTTCCAACATTTTGTACACTTTTTTGAAATTTTTTTAGGTCTTTATTAATTTCCAACATTTTGTACACTTTTTTGAAATTTTTTTAGGTCTTTATTAATTTCCAACATTTTGTACACTTTTTTGAAATTTTTTTAGGTCTTTATTAATTTCCAACATTTTGTACACTTTTTTGAAATTTTTTTAGGTCTTTATTAATTTCCAACATTTTGTACACTTTTTTGAAATTTTTTTAGGTCTTTATTAATTTCCAACATTTTGTACACTTTTTTGAAATTTTTTTAGGTCTTTATTAATTTCCAACATTTTGTACACTTTTTTGAAATTTTTTTAGGTCTTTATTAATTTCCAACATTTTGTACACTTTTTTGAAATTTTTTTAGGTCTTTATTAATTTCCAACATTTTGTACACTTTTTTGAAATTTTTTTAGGTCTTTATTAATTTCCAACATTTTGTACACTTTTTTGAAATTTTTTTAGGTCTTTATTAATTTCCAACATTTTGTACACTTTTTTGAAATTTTTTTAGGTCTTTATTAATTTCCAACATTTTGTACACTTTTTTGAAATTTTTTTAGGTCTTTATTAATTTCCAACATTTTGTACACTTTTTTGAAATTTTTTTAGGTCTTTATTAATTTCCAACATTTTGTACACTTTTTTAAAATTTTTTTAGGTCTTTATTAATTTCCAACATTTTGTACACTTTCTTGAAATTTTTTTGGGTCTTTATTAATTTCGAAAACACCTTTAGGTGAAGAAATTGATAGGTCCTCAATAAAGATATCATGAGAAAATATAGAGTAATCCTTATGACATTGATATAAGATTGTATGTTAGTTGAATTGTAAGTTATTCAAATTTGATTTGAAAACTTAACTAGTTTCAAAATATGTTTGAGGGTGGCTTGTTTACCTTTCTAGTTAAACTCAAATGAGCTTTTCTAGATGTTTTTGAGAAGGTTTGAACATGAAAAGCAAAAGTTGCAAGCTGTTATACAGACCACTAAGCATTCATTTCCACTCACAAATTCAGCTGCTTGCTGCATTTTCTCCACTGATGTATTGTGTAGACGGTCTGGCTTTGATAGTTGGCAGGGCACTATTCCTACAATTGACAACACAAGTGTTTTCTTGGATATGGAGCTACTTCAAGAGCTATCACAGATTGCTTTGGTTGATGCAGAAGAATTGCAACTGGTATGATCACTTATTCCCATTTATTCGTTGATTTGTCTAGTTGCACTGAAATCATCTAATACATCTCTGCTCACAATTTTCTTGAGTAAGCTGTAATAGCAATGTGTACTCAGTGTATGATTCCTTAACTTGATGGTTTTCCTAGAGTAGACATGTGCTTTGCCTCAAACTATATGTGGTTACTTTGCTGATGATACTGGTTTACTTTTGGAGGAAAATGGTATTACATATTTAATTCAAATTTGTTTCAGTACCTAATCTTTTTTCTAATGTAGAGGTTTTTAAATTTTGGTTTTTGGAAAGTTTTATATGCTTCCCAGGTGAATATGATGTAATATTTTTGTAACTTGCTAATTTGTTTGGCTAGAATTGCAAAAAAGGGGAAAAGAAATCTAAGATAAATATTGTTTGCACTGCACTTTTTGATACATTACAATTACATGCTGATCATGAGATGTCAAAGGTAGTTGGGTGAGAGGTCACAGCTGAATAAGCCTTGATACATTGCAAAAAAGGGGAAAAGAAATCTAAGATAAATATTGTTTGCACTGCACTTTTTGATACATTACAATTACATGCTGATCATGAGATGTCAAAGGTAGTTGGGTGAGAGGTCACAGCTGAATAAGCCTTGATACATTGCAAAAAAGGGGAAAAGAAATCTAAGATAAATATTGTTTGCACTGCACTTTTTGATACATTACAATTACATGCTGATCATGAGATGTCAAAGGTAGTTGGGTGAGAGGTCACAGCTGAATAAGCCTTGATACATTGCAAAAAAGGGGAAAAGAAATCTAAGATAAATATTGTTTGCACTGCACTTTTTGATACATTACAATTACATGCTGATCATGAGATGTCAAAGGTAGTTGGGTGAGAGGTCACAGCTGAATAAGCCTTGATACATTGCAAAAAAGGGGAAAAGAAATCTAAGATAAATATTGTTTGCACTGCACTTTTTGATACATTACAATTACATGCTGATCATGAGATGTCAAAGGTAGTTGGGTGAGAGGTCACAGCTGAATAAGCCTTGATACATTGCAAAAAAGGGGAAAAGAAATCTAAGATAAATATTGTTTGCACTGCACTTTTTGATACATTACAATTACATGCTGATCATGAGATGTCAAAGGTAGTTGGGTGAGAGGTCACAGCTGAATAAGCCTTGATACATTGCAAAAAAGGGGAAAAGAAATCTAAGATAAATATTGTTTGCACTGCACTTTTTGATACATTACAATTACATGCTGATCATGAGATGTCAAAGGTAGTTGGGTGAGAGGTCACAGCTGAATAAGCCTTGATACATTGCAAAAAAGGGGAAAAGAAATCTAAGATAAATATTGTTTGCACTGCACTTTTTGATACATTACAATTACATGCTGATCATGAGATGTCAAAGGTAGTTGGGTGAGAGGTCACAGCTGAATAAGCCTTGATACATTGCAAAAAAGGGGAAAAGAAATCTAAGATAAATATTGTTTGCACTGCACTTTTTGATACATTACAATTACATGCTGATCATGAGATGTCAAAGGTAGTTGGGTGAGAGGTCACAGCTGAATAAGCCTTGATACATTGCAAAAAAGGGGAAAAGAAATCTAAGATAAATATTGTTTGCACTGCACTTTTTGATACATTACAATTACATGCTGATCATGAGATGTCAAAGGTAGTTGGGTGAGAGGTCACAGCTGAATAAGCCTTGATACATTGCAAAAAAGGGGAAAAGAAATCTAAGATAAATATTGTTTGCACTGCACTTTTTGATACATTACAATTACATGCTGATCATGAGATGTCAAAGGTAGTTGGGTGAGAGGTCACAGCTGAATAAGCCTTGATACATTGCAAAAAAGGGGAAAAGAAATCTAAGATAAATATTGTTTGCACTGCACTTTTTGATACATTACAATTACATGCTGATCATGAGATGTCAAAGGTAGTTGGGTGAGAGGTCACAGCTGAATAAGCCTTGATACATTGCAAAAAAGGGGAAAAGAAATCTAAGATAAATATTGTTTGCACTGCACTTTTTGATACATTACAATTACATGCTGATCATGAGATGTCAAAGGTAGTTGGGTGAGAGGTCACAGCTGAATAATGTCAGCTTGTTAAGCATATGCCATGGTCTTGCCCTTTCTTGTTCTCAATCTAGTAAGAGATGGACATGTCTAGGTTCAGTCCAGTTTGTTTCAGAGGGCAAGCTTCTTTTTTCTTTGAACATTGGCATTACAGTGTTACGTTCTATGTGTTCTTTAGGCATTTTGTTTTGTTCTTGTAGTTCTAAGAGATCACAACTCTGTGAAACACATGAAGGATTGCTGAGAAGTAATCATCATTTTCTTAGATCAAGCAACGCTAAAGTATTTGATGAATATACTCAAGCAGGTTATTACTCTATTGGTTTATATTGCTGAATTATTGACTAAATATATTTCAAAAGCTTTCAAGCATTGTTCCGATATCGACATATATATTAATGAAATCGGATCTGCGTTTACATTATATATCAAGATTCTTTTGGTTTCTCTTGATAGAATTATTAGTTATCTAGTAAATGAACTAATAACATGTAAACGTCTAGCTAACATGGACCTTTTGCCTTGCTGTAGTTAGTTCTTTCTTGGCACATGAAGGCTGCCACCATGTGTCAATTTTCCAAGCAGGAGTTCATTGGTGGTTTACAAGCTCTTGGGTAACTTTTTGTTGAGTTGTATTCGCTGCTTATTCTTAATCAACAAAACCAGCCTTGAACCATTATGATGTCAACTTCACAAAGTTTTTATTTTTTGATATCAGGATAGATTCACTGTAGAAGTTCTGTGACAGGATACAATATATGCATTATGAGCTGAAAGATGAGCGTATGTAAATGTGACATTTTTTTTCCTTCATTAGTTGCTACTTGCTAGTGGTTATAAGTTATAACTCATGATTTTTCTATTTTTTTCATATGT